ATATGATAAGAATAATTAGAATAAATGAAGGAAAAACTCTAAAGCATGACTAAGGAGTCTAGTTGTGGACAATAGGAGGGTAAAGAGAAATAGTTAAGGTTTGAGGATTTTCATTTCAAAAACTGTGATGGTCACACAAAGAGTTCTATATTATACCACCAAATGTCAAATCGCTACATATATTCTTTATGCAATAAGCCATGTAAAAATGGGTCTCAGTTTATAAAAGAAAGACATGCTGGTAATAGAAGATGTTACATGCAAAGAGCATAAAAGAATAAAATCACTCATACTTTCATCACTCAGAAGAAATCACCATACACATTTCTTTTCAATCATCTTTTAATATTGTTGAAGTCATATAGTTTACACAGCCTTGCTTTTTTTCACTTAAGAAGAAAGAGGTCTCATGAAATGGGCAGGAGAAATTAAGTGGAAATCAAAAGTAGGTTCAGAACAATTTTAGATTTCTTGGAAATGTAATATCTCCTCCTTCTTGGACCTCCCTGCCAGTTTTGAGAAGTTGGGAGAGGGTAGAATAGATTGGGAATCGTGGACATATTGGTGAAGACAGGGTTCATTGATTAAAAAAGTACTTGTGGGGCTTCCCTGGTGGCGTAGTGGTTGAGAGTCCACCTGCCGATGCAGGGGACACGGGTTCGTGCCCCGGTCCGTGAAGATCCCACATGCTGTGGAGCGGCTGGGCCCGTGAGCCTTGGCCGCTGAGCCTGAGCATCCAGAGCCTGTGCTCCACAACGGGACAGGCCACAACAGTGAGAGGCTCGCATACCGCAAAAAAAAAAAAAAAAAAGTACTTGTGGGCCTAGCAGCTCAGAATCTCTGCTCAAATATCTCCTCCCAGTCCTTTTCCCCCTTCTTGAGTTTCTGGTTTTTAGAAACCTTTTTTTCTGTTATATAAGAGTCTCAAATAGCTGTGCTTGCATCCTGAGTTCCAGGTGTTCTACACTTTCTGGACCTCAGTTTCCCCAACTATAATATGGGCATTATTCTATTTACTCTACCGGGTACTTTGTATGTATTAAGGTAGGTTAAACTGCAGTATCAAATAGATTTCACTACACAATAGCTTAAACAAAATAAGTCTTTAGTTCTCATTCATATTGTAGTTTACATGTGATGATGCTGGAATCTGGCATCTTTCCATGCTGAGGTTCTGCCGTCTTCTAGGTCCTTGTCGGCTGCATCCATCAGTGGTAAAAGGGGAAAGCAAGTGCGGAAGAGACCCGATGGCCTGCAGGTGGCACATCTTCCCACTCACATTTTTCTTGGAGAGAATTTGTCCATAGGGCCACAACTCGAAAGGTACTGAGAGCTGAAAAGTGTAGTTAAGCCATGCACCCTCTGCAGTCCTATTACTACAGAAGGAAGAGAGGACAGATATTAGTGAATACAAGCAGTACTGGGTATTCATGTCTTGCAAAACACTTAATAAAGGACATTCCATGGTAGGGGATGAGCATACTTCTCTTTCTTTCCTTGCATTTGAATCTTGTCAGGGAAGTGAAAACAAAATGTTGTCAAACAAAAGTACTGTTGCCAAAATTCAGCCTCTGTATACCAGTGCCAGATTGAATCTCGGAGACAGACATTTGGGTGAAGTAGAAAGAGATAGCTTTATCACAGGGCACCAAGGAAGGAGTCCAGGGCAGCTAGCGCTTAAAAGACCCGAACCCCCGAAGGTTTTCAGGGAAATGGTTTTTATTTTTTACTTTTTTTGCGGTACGCGGGCCTCTACACTGCTGTGGCCTCTCACGTTGCGGAGCACAGGCTCTGGACACGCAGGCTCAGCGGCCATGGCTCACGGGCCCAGCTGCTCCACGGCATGTGGGATCCTCCCGGACCGGGGCACGAACATGTGTCCCCTGCATCGGCAGGCGGACTCTCAACCACTGCGCCACCAGGGAAGCCCCAGGGAAATGTTTTTAAAGACAGGGTGAGGGAGGGGGGTTGTGGGGAGTGTGATCAGCTCGTGGACATTCTTCTGATTGGCTGGTGGTGAGGTCATTGGGAGTCAGCATCGTCAACCTTCTGGTTCCAACAGGTCTGGGGTCTATGTGTTTATGGGCAGCATTCAGTTAACTTCTCCCACTTGTTGGGGGTTTCAGTATCTGCAAAACAGCTCAAAGGACATGGCTCAGAATAGTATCTACAGTCCTTGAGGAGGAACTAAAGTCCTTGACTTTGTTTAATGGCTAAAGTGTTATTATTTGTCTTGCTTGGCTATTTTCCTTTATGCGTTTTCTGATTTCTCTGATTAAATTTATTCTTTGACTAAAGCTTTTCTACAGACAAAAGGCAAGCAGAGGACATTTGTGGTGGCCTCTTCTGGGAAGGCCTCCTAGCGTCCTACTCGGCTACAGTACTAGCTATTTATTGGGATGAAATCGATGAATGTGCCTTATGGCCAGAGTAGGGCCCATCTCATGTTCTCTGCTCCCTTTGCCCACTCCCAGATGATGACAAGCTATCTCTGCAGTGGGCAGCCAGTGGGGACTCAGAAAGTTCTCAGTACCAAGGAGGGGTCCAGTTGAGTCCTCCCGAGATGGCAAGAGTGTAAACTGGGACATCACTAAAATGATTTTCAGTGGCACAAGTTGAAATCAAAAGGGACTTATTGGTTAACATCTCTAAATTAAAAATCCAATGAATCACCCAACCTGATGCCCTGAGCAAGGTTCTTAACAAAAGGGCTACTTTCTTTTTTTCTTTTTTTTTTAATTGAAGTATAGTTGATTTACAACATTGTGTTAGCTTCAGGTGTACAGCACAGAAGTTATTCATAATATATATCTCAGTTATACATAATACATACCTATTTTTTTTCAGATTCTTTTCCCTTATAGGTTATCACAAAATGTTGAGTGTAGTTCCCTGTGCCATACAGTAGGTCCTTGTTGGTTATCTGTTTTATGTATACTAGCGTGTATATGTTACTCCCAAAGTCCTGTTTTATCCCTCCCCCACCTTTCCCCTTTGGTAACCGTAAGTTTGCTTTCTATGTCTGTGGGTCTATTTTTGCTTTGTATATATGTGGATTTGTAGCATTTTTTTTTAGATTCCACATATAAGTGATATCATATGGCATTTGTCTTTCTCTGTCTGACTTATTTCACTTAGTATGATAATGTCTAGGTCCATCCATGTTACTGCAAATGGCATTATTTCATTATTTTCTATGGCTGACAAATATTCCATTGTGTATATATACCACATCTTGTTTATCCATTCATCTCTCCTTGGACCCTTAGGTTGCTTCCATATCTTGGAAGCTATTGTAAATAGTGCTGCTATGAATATTGGGGTGCACCCATGGCATACACATTCTACAATAGGTCCCACTCAGGATTCAGGTGTCCTGTGGACCCTTGAGTCAGGAAGAATAAATACGGACCTCTTTGTACCTATGGGAAATGAAAACAGAAAACTTAGGCCACAAGTCTTCCAAAGAAGCAAGAGTTCATATTGATCTTCTGCAAAGTTCCAATGTGTCAAATAATAAAATTCTGGGGCTCAAAGGCTTTGGTCACATATCAGAATGTTGCTGTGTGTCAAACATATAGAATCACAAGGAGACCCAGCGATGGGGCCCTCTTATGTCTCTCTGAGATGTTGCATGTGCTGTTTCCTTGGCCTGGGTTGGTCTCTCCAACTTTTTCTCTGTCTCACTTTGTTTGCTGGGGAAACAGCTTTCAGCTCCACTGTCACTGTCTCTAGGGCTTTCTGATCACCTACCTAGGCATTCTGTCATCTGTTCTCATATTGAACCTTGTGTTCACCTCTCTGAAGGCTCTCTTTCACATCACATTACACATTTCTGTGTGTGTGTGTGTCTCTCTTCAGTATCGAGCAACCTCCTGGTGCTCAGTGAGCATCTGTTGAATGAGTGAACACTAACCTCTCAAAGGCATAGTCAGTGATCGTGCATCTTTGCATCCACAGCAAAATGTCTGGTCCACAGCAGGTTCACAGCACGTATTTAGAAAGAGCTAAAGATCAGAGAAAAGAAAGGGAGGAATGGAAGAAGAAAGCAAAGAAGGAAGGAAGGAAAGACCAGTCAGGAAGAGGGTATAAAGCATGTTAAAGGTTAAAGTTGTAAAAAACTTAAAAAATGGGCGACATCCCTTTAGGAATCCAGAAGATAAAAACTGTAATAACTGAGAAAAGAGAGGATGAATGATAGAGGAAACAGAATTTGAGATGAATATTAAACCGTGAAAGGGAATTTGATGGAGGAGGAGAAGGAAAATTGAGTCTAGAATGTTCATTGCAGCACTATTCACAACAGGCAAGACATGGAAACAACCTAAATGTCCACCGACAGATGAATGGATAAAGAAAATGTGGCCTATATATACAGTGGAATATTACTCAGCCATAAAAAGAATGAAATAATGCCCTTTGTGGCAACATAGATGGACCTAGAGATGATCATACTAAGTGAAGTAAGTCAGACAAAGACAAATATCCTAAGATATCACTTATATGTGGAATCTAAAATACGATACAAATGAACTTATTTACCAAGCAGAAATAGACTCACAGACATAGAAAAAAAACTCATGGTTACCAAAGGGGAAACATGGGGGGAGGAGGGATAAATCAGGAGCTTGGGATTAACATACAAACACTACTATATATAAGATAGATAACCAGCAAGGGCCTACTGTATACCACAGGGAACTCAACATTCTGTGATAATCCCTATGAGAAAAGAATCTGAAAAAAAGTGGATATACGCATATGTATAACTGAATCACTTTGCCATACACCTGAAACCAACATGACATTGTAAATCAACGCTACTCCAATAAAATTTTAAAAAAGAAATACCAGGGGTTTATGAAGAGAGGCAGACATATTTTGGTTACAGACACCTTAGCTGAACACTGTTTTTTTTCTTTTTTTCTTCCTCTGTGAGCGGTGACAGTCGCGGCTCTGTGAGATGTTGCTGCAACTCTCTCTCTCTGATCCTCTTCCAGGAACTGGCGGTTGGTCCCCAGCAGATTCCAATGCTCAGCAGTGGCTCCAGATGGACCTGGGCAACAGAGTGGAGATTACAGCAGTGGCCACGCAGGGAAGATACGGAAGCTCTGACTGGGTGACGAGCTACAGCCTGATGTTCAGTGACACAGGACGCAACTGGAAACAGTACAAGCAAGAAGACAGCATCTGGGTAGGACAAATTTTCTCATCAGCTGAATAAAACTGAGATGCCCTCATGGTAGCCAGTGAATGTTTCTGTCATTTTCCTCTATCCAGATTGCCAGTAGCTTGATAACTGTTGTGTACCCATTCAGAAATAATTAGATGATATCTAGGTCCTATCTGCAGAATGACGCCAGTTCCTAGGGAAATGAGGATGTCTGTTGCAAAGAGTTTAGTGTTTTCCTCCTTTTCTGGTAACTTGGGGATTTCACTGACTGGGCCTTAGTTCTTTCAGGGATAAAAAGAGAACTACAACATGGAAGTCTGATCATTGACAAGAATGTATTGGTTGACTGAGTATGTGTTTATTAAATATTTACCTATTTTTTTAACATCTTTATTGGAGTATAATTGCTTTACAGTGGCTTGTTAGTTTCTGCTTTATAACAAAGCGAATCAGCTACGCATATACATGTATCCCCATATCTCCTCTCTCTTGCGTCTCCCTCCCACCCTCCCAATCCCACCCCTCTAGGTGGTCACAAAGCACCAAGCTGATCTTCCTGTGCTATGTGGCTGCTTCCCACTATCTATTTTACATTTGGTACATACATAACTGAGCTAATTGCATCATGACAAGGTATGTAAAGTGCCTGGTACATAATAAGTAAATATTTAGTAGTGTATATATGTAAATATTTATTTATTATGTACCAGGCACTTTACATACCTTGTCATAATACAATTAGCTCAGTTCTGTACCTCGACCAAAGTTGCCCAGCTGATGCACCTTGGTCCGGTAATCCACAGCCTAGTCTGGTAATCCACAGCCTGGTCTGACTTTAAAGTCATTGTGTTCAACTGCCTATTCAAGTTTTGAAAACAATTAAAAATGTTAAAAATACAAAACAAATATAGAATTTAGAATGATTCTGCCTTTATAAACAATCTGCAGCTTGGAAGTAAAAGACAGTTTGGTCCAGGTTATGAAAAAAAACCTGTGCCTTCCACAACCCTGGACCCAAGCTCTTGACCCCAAAAGGTGAGTGAAAGGCTGTCCCCAAATTACGAGGTGAGGAATTGGAGGTCGAGGCAGGGGCAAAAGGCGCCCAGGGGAGACCTCATAGACTTACACATCAAATAAAATAATGTGTTGGTTCAGGTCACTTTTGCTTTGGGAATAAACCTCACCAGATATTTACTTTTTTCTAAATGTGCATAGGAGGTGAAGATTTAGCAGTTGCTAACATTAGCTTTCCTTCTCATAATGTCCTTAATTGTTTTCCCTCTTAAATCAATCACAATTACACTTTCAAATTGCTGCTGTTTACACATACATTGTTCTGTATTCGTCTCACTCTGCTGGGAAAACAAATCCTATTTTATATTCATTGTTATTTGTTAATTGCTTACCCATCACTATTCATAATTGAAAGTAATAGTAAACTGAGGATTAAGATTAGTTATGGCAGATTGAAACCGGAGAATATTATAATAGTCATCTTTATTTGGAGTGGCTTGTAATATTAGGTGGTAATATTTATGGAGAGCATGGGTTTTCTTCATTTTACAAATAGTCTTTTGGGGACTATTCTCTTTTTTCCTCAATTTTGAAGCCCCCATAAATTTTACAGGTTTTTTTTTTTTTTTTCCTCGGTATGTGGGCCTCTCACTGTTGTGGCCTCTCCCATTGCGGAGCACAGGCTCCAGACGCACAGGCTCAGTGGCCATGGCTCACGGGCCCAGCCACTCCGCGGCATGTGGTATCTTCCCAGACCGGGGCATGAACCCGTGTCCCCTGCATCGGCAGGCGGACTCTCAACCACTGCGCCACCAGGGAAGCCCTACAGGGTTTTGTTTTGTTTTTTTTTAGTTTGTGTTTAGTTTGAAAAGATAAATAAGCACACCTTCCATTTTGAGGCACAATTTTAAGATTTTATGCTGACTTGAGAGGGACAAATAGATGCGGTGTTATTTATTTGCTTTGGCATTTTCAATCAGAACTGGTTGTTTTTCAGATTGAAGTTTCGAGTTCTTTTGTCTAAACTTTTATAAAACCCAGAGTTTCATTTTCTTCAGAATCAAATAACCTGCTTTTGCCCTGTCCTGTGGATCAGGATGTATTTCAAGAATGGACAATTTCTCTGGGCTAGTGAACAGTGGGCATAAGGCCTATTTCACTTTCTTGCCCCTGTTGGTTTGTCTGTGCTTCCACAAAACTCCAAGCCCATTGAAGGCAGGGGCCTGTTTTATAAGTCCTGGTAGGCTCCACGACTATCATTACTGGACACGTAGCCTGAACTACGTTTTGGATGGCTATTACAAGAACTGCAGAATTATTAGTGCTTACAGAATTGGAGGGGAGGGCACTGTTCTCATGCCTGTCCCTTTCCTCACCTCAGAATAGCCTTGGCCTTTGGGAGGAGGCAAAAGTTGCTGGGCGGGCAGAGGGGAAAAGGCAGGGAACCGTTGTGCACAGGAAGGTGGTGAGTTCCAGCTAAGGCCTCCCCAGAGACATTTCCAATGCCTGCAGGGCTCTTGGGAAGGGAGGCAGCTTCAGGACCAACCTGACAGATGCAAACCCCAGGAGGAGGAAAGACGTGGGGAGGGGTCTTTGCCCCTCCAGTGACATGGGCAGGGACATGGTGGTAAGTCGTGCATACTAACAAGGTGCAAATTTTGAAAAACAATGCGTGTCCCCTCGTATCACTATCGAGAGAACCAACGGCTACCAAAGACCCACTGCACATGGCATTTGTACACAAATGCCATTCCGTATACTTAAAAAGGTGTTATAAATTCTGGAGATTCAGGGTTCAGAGACCAACCCAAGCTCACATAACCAGACACTGGTGAGGCCAGAATACAAACCAAGACTGATTCCTAACTATACTTGATTGCAGAAACTGTGCTTTCTATTTCTTCTTTACTACACTTGAATTTGTTTTCTAATTTTCACAGAACTGATTTATCTTTCTCACCTTAGACTTTGCCAGGCCCACTCCAGAAGAAGAATGTTAAACCCTATTGTGTATTTCACGTGCTGCTAAAATTTAAAAGTGAGAAAGCACTAATACTATCTAACTATTTCTCTATATGTTATAAATAGTGCTGAAACTCTCTGAAACTATATAGGCCTTACAGAATACCCATGAAACAGAGACTCAGAGTATTTTACCAAACATTTCATGAACATGTATAAAATCTGACTTGTGCCTAATTTGCATTGGTATTTCCACCAGATTATGTTATTGAATGAAAAGGTTACCTTGAGAGTTTTTCTTTTTCTTTTAAATATAAAATGATAAATCAGACTATAGTTTCACCAAAGTTAATCCTGATAAACAAGATAAAAGCAATAGCCAAACAAGAGGGTTTTATAAAACTCTCTAAATGGTTCAACTTTTCAGAAAAAAGTCAGTACCCCAAAACATCAATACCAAGTATTGACTTAATTAAGGACTGTGTATCACAGAAATAGAAAAATAGCTTGAATGAGACTTTCACGAGGTCTTTTGAAGATCTTCAATTTTCAGATGATATGGAGTTTGTAATGCCTTTAAAAGTTGATTTACCAAGCAATACAACTATAGCATACTCCTTGGATAGGATATCAATTTGTTAATACTCAAGAGATTTATTTTATTTTGCAAACTTTACTTCAGAAAAAGAATCCTGGAAATATACCTGTCCAATATACAGTAGCAGATATTCGTGCTCTAAAAATCCAATTTGCAGTTTCTGAACTGGCTCTGAATGCAATGTTCACACATGAGGCCACCAAGCAGCCATATAGCAATGCATTATGGTTTATAAATAAACCAGAGTCCTCACTTCACTAAATAATCAGGTGTGAAGGATTATAGTAGTGGGACTACTACTACTAGCAAGGCAAACATAGCAAGACATTTAGAATCTTAGCACATCCAAAATCTCTTTCTGGTTGGCTTGTAGACATGCCAAAATAACAAAAATATTAAGATTCGAACTCTGAGCAGCAACTTCAGCCAACGTTCAGTAAGGTGGATCAATTGATTTGGTACATAGGAACCTTTAACTCTTTAAAGCCACAGAGAACAGAGTCCTGTTACCAGTCATTTTGAAAGATATTCCAGGAGAAACACTTACCATCCCTATTAAATCCACAGATTACCTTTTCAGTCCTGTGTCTCTTGTATGTCAGTGTTCAAACCCTTCATGAATCCACCTATGTTTCCTGCATACAACATGTACATGTTCCAAACATACATTCTCCTCTATGGGCATTGCTACTTTCCTTTATACTCTGCTACTTATCACTCTGAAATTTCAAAGACAGAACCCAATGTGTGTGTTTTAATATGAGACCCATTATTATTTTTTAATTTGTTTTACTGAAGTATAGTTGATTTACAATGTGTGTTAATTTCTGCTGTACAACAAAGTGATTAAGTTATACATGTGTATGTATTCGCTTTATGTTCTTTTCAATTATGGTTTAGCACAGGATATTGGATATAGTTCCCTGTGCTCTACATTAGGACCTTGTTGGTTATCAGGAGCCCTATTTTTTTTTTTTTTACATCTTTATTGGATTATAATTGCTTTACAATGGTGTGTTAGTTTCTGTTTTATAACAAAGTGAATCAGTTATATATATACATATGTTCCCATATCTCTTCCCTCTTGCGTCTCCCTCCCTCCCACCCTCCCTATCCCACCCATCCAGGAGGTAAGAAAGCACCGAACTGATCTCCCTGTGCTATGCGGCTGCTTCCCACTACCTATTTTACATTTGGTAGTGTATATATGTCCATGCCACTCTCTCACTTTGTCACAGCTTATCCTTCCCCCGCCCCATATCCTCAAGTCCATTCTCTAGTAGGTCTGCATCTTTATTCCTGTCTTACCCCTAGGTTCTTCATGACATTTTTTTCTTATATTACATATATATGTGTTAGCATATGGTATTTGTCTTTCTCTTTCTGACTTACTTCACTCTGTATGACAGACTCTAGGTCCATCCACCTCATTACAAATAGCTCAATT